TTGCTGCATGCATATTGCAGGTTTCAAATAACTAATAATTTGGTTAAATACTATGGAAAAAATCAATGGAAAAACAACTTTGGTCAATTCCTTCTTGACATTTAAATATAAACTTTTAAGATGTCTATAAAAAAGATTTTCATTATGATTATTTCATTATTTATTATAATTATTATCATAATTATTTTAGCCTTTATTTCATCCACCTAAGATTGTTCTAGTTCCACTGGGATGTGTTCAAGAACACATGGTCCAGTGAATATGGTTAGAGCAAGTGATTATCACAGAAGTGTTGTGAGTTCAATACCTCTTTACAGCAGTGGTGAACCTTTTTAGAGTTGAGTTAAGGGAAATAACTGAGACAAGGAAGAGGCATGGCATGGAAATAGAACAATCTGCAGTGGATGAAATAAAGGGGGTTTGAAATTCCAATCAACAAGATTTTAACAATGGTTGAAAAGAATTGCAATGAAGATGGGGATATCATCCTGAATAATGTAAATAAACTTTCAAACTGTGGTTTTTCAGTGCCAAACCCTGAGCTCTGTTTTCTTCTAACACAGTGCAACTGAGAGCCAGAACTGGAGGCCTATTGAAAAATGTAGGATTTTCAGAAATTTTAGAAGAAAATGAAGTCAACCACTTTATGAAATACTTAGAATAACATTTTTATTCACACCTGAGGATAATAGGATGTGTTGAAAGATAAATAAATGAAAATATGTATTTTTTGCTATGAACACTGATAATTATTAAACAACACAAAGGGGTAATTATGATTTCTGGTAAAAGATATATTGAATCAGAAATTTATATTATTTACAGGTGTCACTGAATCCTTTATTCAATCTATTCCTGTGAGTGAATAAAGACTTTGGTTGAAATTTACATTACAGTTACTGGGTTTGACAAACAGAACCCAAGAAGGCTGGAAGACATCAGCCGAAGTGTGTATATAACAATCCATCATCGCAGAAATATAGACAAATAAAACAAAATCATTCTAGAAAAGTTTCAAAACTTTTAGAGCTGGTTCTTTTTCTGATCTAGGTGTGCTATGTTTGCAAAAAATTTTTCAAAACTATATTTGCAAAAATAGAAGCATGCTTTTTCTCCATGTTGAAAAAATGAAACTCAGAAATAAGCATAAAAATGTTACTTAATGATTTATAGCAAACCTTTCCCTTTATTGTATGGAAAAGGATGAAACAAAAAAATAACCATTGACAAGTGTGGTCAGAAGGAACTTTTAGTTTTCCACGGTCAATTAAATTGGTATATTTTCCATACTTTTCATAATAAAAATGGGTTTCACATTCACTGGGTTGATTATCATTTCTTGTAATATATCCAGCTATGTACACAAGAGCCATTTTTATTTCATTGGAAAGAGATGGTTCTAAATTTTCCAGATTGTCAAATATTTCTGAACCTTCCTCACAAAGTTTATAATCACAAGATGTACATTGGTGACCTGGATTAACATCAAATTCATCAATATTTACATTTTGATTTAAAAGTAAAGATGTCTGCTTAATATGCAGCTTTTCAATACATTGTTGAACATTTATAAAATAGGTGCCACCTGATCCTTGGCGAAGTTTACCAAATTCTTTTTCTAATGGATCAGTTGAAAATTGCCCAAGTAGTACATATTTATGACTTGTAGCTAAAAGGTGTCGACATAGACTAACAATTCCATTGCAAATATGATGTATGGCAGTAGCAGTGTTTTGGGATAATGTTTTTTACGATTACCTTGACTGCCAGCCATATTAAGAGCCATTTTACCAAATTCAATGATAAAATCAAGTCGGGTGTCATTTGGAGATTTGATTTCAGCTTGTAGAGGATCATTATGTAATTTATCAATTTGAAGGCATTTAACATTTAAAATTTTCCACCATGTCAAAACCTTGTTTATGAAGAGGGCAGTATCATTCTTACCTGCACTTATTTCAGACTGAGTGAGAAGTGCATTATATGTTTTTTTCAGAAAACACTCTGAGGCAAGTAGAAACCCGTTGTCTTTCTATTGGCTTTGGAGCAATGGAAATTTCATTTAAATCTGAAAGTTTGACTAGTCTTTCAGATTCAAAATGATATAACTGTTTAAGATGTGTCCATTTTGCAACTCGACTTACTCCATCATCATCAAAGATTAGTTCTCCTGTTTTTTTCTGTCAGCCACAAATTGCGAATATTTTTCAACAGATGAACATAATCAAAAAAAGCAAATGTTTATTATCTTCAGTTAACCAAGGTTTTTCAGGAAGTGTAGGATATAAAAAAAAAAAAGCCTGATTTACGCGCTTGCCATCACATATAATAGCCTTTACATCAGCTGGTACAGATGTGATGGCTTGGACTGTTAACTCAATTTGTTCAAATAAAAAGGCGGATGTTAATTTTGAAATTGGAATCAATTTTGTAAGAAAATTTGGACCCCCATTGAGACATATCAACATTATACCAAGTACTGTTTGAGCAAGTACAGATGGATTGTCAACTGATTTACCAAATAGTTGTTTGCCATGATATAGCAACATCTTTTTGATATATACTTCATCATGGAGAATTATGCACCCTTTTTGACTGGTATTAAGAGTATTAAATATAGATAACAAAAAAGATTTTTCATTAAGTTTTGAAACTTTTGACGTCATCCTTCATAATGTTGCTAATGAGGGTAATTGAAAATCATATCTTAATTCATTATACAATGTCCGTGATCTTGCATAGTACCCAAAAGCATGCACAACTATATCTGAGCTGTATTTTATTCCAACCATTTTGGGAGCCATTGCTAAAAATTGTTGACTCAGGATATTTTTCTTGTGATCAAAAGCCATAGAATTTAAATATCGGATGATTTCTTCCAGTTTTGACCAAGTATCAACTGTATTTATATGATTTTTGGACAGGCTGCTAATATAACACTTAACTCCATAATGAAATGTTTCAAAGTGCAAATTGTTATAAATTTTCAACATAAAGAGAGGAATACCATCAATAGATTTTGATAATTGAACAGTTAAAATATTTTCATCCAAAAAATGCTACAACTGGACATATAAAGTCTTTTTTTTTTGTTGTTAAGCAGACTTTCTTTCAAATTTGTATAATTTTATCTAATTCTAAAAAAGCATTAAGTTCATCAGCAATTTGATTTCTAACAGTACTGGAGGTTTTTTTTATTTCCTTTGAACAGCTGAGGGTGTTGGTATTTGACTACTTGGCACACCTGGCCATACAGATGGTGGATTTTTTTTGGACGTATTTTTCCATTAACTTTTATGGTATCAAAATTTGAAGGCCAATGTTGTTTATTTTTAAAACTTTATATTAAATTTAAAAACATTTCATAAGTAGCCTTTCCTTTAGTTTGGTTATTTTAATACGCTTTAAACTATATAAATAGGAAATATATAATTTTAACTTTTTTTTTTTTACCTTAAAGCAAAACAATTAAAAGTAAAAAAAAAAAATAATGCATTTTGTCCTTTAACAACAATATCACAAAAAATATTAAAATAAATAAATTAAAAATAAATAAAATGTATTATTATTATTATACTTGTCTTGTAAAAAAAAAAAATAAATTTTGTAGTCTAAAAAAGGCGTAAAAAAAGGAGACCTTTCTGGCCAAAAAAAAAAAAAAATAATTAAAATATTTGACATTAACTGCATGTAATAAATTTATTATTGTTATTTTTTTTCTTTTTAATTCTAATAAGTAAAAAATTATTTACAGTTCACCAATTGGTAACTAATGTAGTAAAAATAATCATTTATTCTTTACTTTTTGTAGAAACGTAAAAAAAGCGCGAAGAAATTCGTTTATTATTTTTTTTTTTTTTTTTTTTTACTTTTAATGGAAATGTTGGATAAAGTTTTAATAGTAACTTGTTTGTTTGTTTTTTTTTTTAGATGGAAATGGATTGAATGTTAATGAACCTTTCTCTATTAAAATTTTATTCAAATTTATTATTCAAACTTAAACTTTTAATAGAAAAATGTTGACTTATGCTATTTTTTATCATGGTTAAAAACTTGAGAAAATTAAACTTTAATTTCGTTGACGTTATGTTTTTTCACTCATACTAACAATGTTTTTTTTTTAGCGATATCAAAAATAAATATCAAATTAAGTAATGACATTGAATTTATGAAAAAAAAAAAAAAATTTTAATTCATTTTATAATAAAAATAGTTTTTTTTACGTCTTTGAAGAAACTAAATTAAATTCTGTTCAAATTTGTTAAACGTTGTTTTGTTTTGCTTCTTAAAATAACAAAAAATTACTCAAAAAAGAATTGCATTTTATCAATAAATAATTCTTTAAACTTTAATCAAAAAATGTTGAACAAACTTTAAGAGGAAAATGCCAAAAAATGAATTAAACTTTAATTTAAAAATGTTTTTTCAAATAAAAAAAAAAACTTAAGTAAATCTTTTTTAAAAGTAAATTTAAGCACCAAAGTTTACTTTTTACAATTTGAATATAAATTTTACTTCAAATAAATTTACAATTTAAATATAAATAATGTATGGACTCAAACTAAAATAATCTAAAAATATATTTACTTCAAATAAATAAGTTAAATGATATTCCTAAACCAAAGGTAAAAATACAAAAAGATTCAAAAACAATTTTTTGAATTTCTCGAGCCAACAAATATTTGAAACAAAAACACTATTTACACTTAATCACAGTTCAATTAAGAAACAGTTCGCAATAAATTTAAAATAAAAACAATATTTGAAACACCAAACACTTGCAGTTGATTACTTTCTTGGTGTTCTGTTAACAGTAGTCTTTCTGGGGGATCTTCGGTCCTCCTACCTCTCCTGTGGGACATATTGACTGGCAGCCTTCCAGCAGAGAATGACCAATGCAGCCTAAACTTTTCATCATTGATACAGCAAGCTGATTTTGCTTTCTATATGACCAGGCTACTGCAGATAAAAAAAACAAAACTTTTTTTCTGCCATTTGGTATGTTGGTGCAGCACCATGTAGTAGGTTAGCTGCTTGTCAGCTTTTGTCTACTTCTCCCATGTATCTTGATACATGGGGGAAGTAGACTGCACAGCACAAGGCTTGTACACAATCCTGGTATGACTTCCATGACATTTTGACTGAACTTCTTTCCTGAAGGTCTTGGCAGTGTGGGCAGTCATCAGCAAATTTACTGTCATACCAGTAAATATATTTCCTGGTATGACAGAAGGCCAGTAAAATGTGTCAGTCTCTGTGTGTGATGGGAGGATTGCTTGCTCGGGGCTTCACATCTTTTATTTAATTCGGCATACCCTTTCTGTTCACCCATAGTGTCCTCCTGTTCTATGTTGGGCTAGGTGGTGAAACAATGCATGGGATGAAAAAAAATTGTCCATGTAAATTACATGTCCCCAACTTTGTGGGCAACACCAACTGTCCCTGGTGCCTGAGCTGTTTTGCAGCCCAAGTACATGTAGCAGGTTTTTATGTTAGTTAGTCCCCAGGCCCCACTTGGTTGGTTTTGCTGGCATGTATATCAATAAACTGGTCCTGCCTTTGAAAGGAATCCTACTTTCATCCACTGAAAGTTCCTTTTTGGGATAAAAGTATTTCTGCCAAAGTTGCACAAATCTTTTTGAAAGTTGCTGAATCTTGAATGCCCTATCATGCTCTGGGTGGTTCCTCAGTTTTGCATTGTAGTTATTTGAAAGATAAAAAAATGACAAAATCCTCAAAAACTTGTCTCATGGCATGATATGTCTGAAACTGGGCATTTGAATAAATTCATCTGCTGACCAGTGAAATCAAATGATGACAACTTTGTGAGTCCAATAAGAAGCAAAATATCCTAAGAAGGCTTTCGTTTCATTAAAAGTGACATACTTCCACGTGTTCTGCTTTCCTTTATTTGACTAGCATATGTATTTGTCTCATTGACAAATAAAATTATTATTTCGTCTTTTATAAATAGACAAAATAATTCACCTTCAGAAAGGCCTTACTTGGGGCCAGTAGCTTCCATATAAAATTAGTCTGCTATGGATGATAGTAGCTGGCCAGCACCTTGTAGTCATCATAGCTTTCCTCCCTGTCACTGGAAGGGTTATCATCTCTATCTCTAACCACTTCACTATCAATATTTGCTTGGGTAAAGCCTTCAAAATCATCATCAGAGTCTGAATCAAAGAAAAACTTCTGAATAAAGGTTTTCTTGAATGTTGACACAGCCATTTTTGTTTACAAAAAATCGCTACAAAATTCACATGGGTGAAGGAAAAAAAATGGCGTCAGAAAACTAGTTTAGTCTTGTTCAAAAGTGAGAGTAGGCTATTTCCAGCTTAAAATACTGGAAATAACAGTTGACAAGTGTTTAATTTTAGCAACCCTTTCGAGGCGACAGAATGCACCTGGGAGAGAATTCATATGACAAATTTTTGCTTTCAGCTAGAAAAAGATTAAAGCAATGGTCAGAAAACTTCAATGAATTCAGTTGTTTCAAATGAATTTAAAGAAAAAAAAATGGACCAGGGAAGCTGGTAAGGCAACATTGATATTTATTTTATGCCATCCACACATCCCAAGAAAGAAAGGAAGGAAGGAAGGAAGGACTAGTAAAAAGTGTTTGAAAGGATATGTACAATGTTTAGCTGCATCCATGGGACACACAAATGGGAAATTTAATATCCTTTAAGATTTTTATTCATAAGGGACACAGGACATGTACTTAGCATCTCTGCTCTTGTAAAGGTAGTGGATAGCAAGAGGAGCTGGTGCTTACTAGCACAGTACAGGGAACCAACTGTTTTTCCGGCATCTTTAGTGATAAATTGTATTTACAAATTCCACTTGAGGTCTGAGAAGTCCCAATAGGTGCTCATGACACAGGACTCTCTGAGAGAACATCTGTTCATTACAATTGGTGAAAATTCTGGGTTTGATCAGTGATGATGGAAGGTCACAAGTTTTTTTTTTTTTTTTTTTTTTGAGGCATTGACTGTAACCAGCCAGTTTTTTCCCCACTGAACTGTTAGAGCCATGTAAGAGTTGAGATAAGCTGCCAAGTTCTGATCTTAGAAGTGCACTAATATACTGTTATTATCAACATAGATATTCATAAATGATCAAAGTATACTCTTAGGTAAATCATTTATGTAAAGTAGAAAGAGGGTTGAACCAAGAAGTGAATTTTGGGGACTGCCTGCATTGAATGCCAGAGTCTCAGTTGACAAATTTTGGTGGCAAGATGTCATCATTTTACAGTTGAAATGGCTCAATGTAACTAAATTCTATGCAAACAGTTTTTTCTCTCACACTTCTCACTTGCAGAACTCTCTTCTGGTTTTCCAGTCAACTTTGATCTTCAAAGAATTAAATGTTGGTTGTTATCTTGTCTTCTTAATTCTTGTTTTTTATTGTTTTCTCTCCTTAGTAATGTTTTCTTTTTCTCGTATTCTTTCACACTCAGTAACCCCTTGTGTCTTACCTTGATGATGGTGAAATGATTTAAAAAAAAAAAAAAGAAGCTACTCCTTTTTATTTATTTATTTTTTTGTTATTATTATTATTTTCAGTTTTTACTTTCTTAAACTTAACATTGCAAAAAATGAAAAAATATTCATTTGTCAGTATAATTAGGTTTTTGCTATAATTTGGCTTTGTGGTGATCATCAAAACCAATTCATTTTTCTAAAGAGAAAAACATAAATGACATTCATTATTTATGATGGTCTCTTCTAATATTGTATTAACAGTTATTGAATTAAAAATTTTCTTATGATTTGCAGAAAAATCAATCTCCTATTATTTTTGTTTTAAGAGACAATTTTCTGATTTTCATTTAAGAAATTAATTTTTTTTGTTTTGTTTTTCCTCCCCCAGTTTCGAAATCAATATGACAATGATGTTACTGTATGGAGTCCTCAGGTAAATATAACTTGATTATGGAATCACCTTTTAAATATTTTAATTTTATATTGAAATATCAAAATGTATATTTAAGATATCATTAGATATGTTATTGCTATTTAAGTAAGATTTTGTAGATGTATTATGGAAAGAGTAATTTTTTTCTTACAGGGCCGTATTCATCAGATTGAATATGCCATGGAAGCTGTAAAACAAGGTTCAGCAACTGTAGGATTGAAATCAAAGACTCATGCTATCCTAGTTGCCTTAAAGGTATTGTTTTTTTTGTGATATATTCATTTCTTTTTAGATAGCTTTCTTCCAAATTATATGGAAATTATACACTTTATTATTTATATGATAATTATATGTGGGATTTGTTGGTCACAAGAGACATTAGATTTGTGCCTAAGCTGCTAGTGGTTTCACAGCATGTGTTATGGCTGTACAGGTCCACATGGGGGTGACAGTCTCAATTGCAATGAATGCATGTGAAGACGCTCTCCCCCAGTGTTGCCTTGTTGTTTTCTTTCCATCAAGTACACTTCTACCTGGAGGCAAGTCTTTGTTTCTCCTCTCCTCACTCCAGCCCTTGGTGTAAATTATGTCTCCAGTGTGAGCAATCGTTGGTGACATCTTCCCACCTCTCAACATCAATATCCATTGCCCTCATGTCCATTTTGCAGACCTCCTTGAAACGAAACATGTACAAATGTGTAACGGAGAGAGTTTGGGAAAACACACACACACATATATATTTTTTTATTGAAATTGGTGTAGATTTGAACAGCGAAATTAGATCAGAACAATTTTGTTTACTGATGAAAATCTGATCTAGCCCATTTGGAATTGAGTCGTGAAAAAGACAATGGAAATGATCAAAATAAATTTTATTGGTTAAAATTTGAAATAGAGCTTACTAAGGCTATGAGAACTTTGAAATTCACATGATTTTCGGTTGAAAACAGCACTCATGATAACCGCATGCAGGCCAAGGGTCGATTTATGATCAACCAGATTTATCTATATAAACGCGTGGTTATGCTGAAGAAGAGGAAATGGTCGAATGAGATGGAAGAGGCCAGACAGGAGAGGCTATGATCGCTCGGCACGTCGTCGTTGTTGCATGCCATCACATGCGTGGGCATCCACAAGTGACTGTTACGGGTTGCAGTGCTACAGAAATCTTTTCACAAAAAGAGTGGTTGTCTGCCGTCAAAAGCACTTGAGCTGGGTGGAGGGAGATCGATCGGAGATTGAAAGTGACGTTGGAGATTGGAACCGAGCGCCTGCTAACATATGTTGTTGATATAAGTACAAAGAAGTGAATTACTCCTCCAACAATCTAAAACTGCTACTGCTACTATTATTACTACCACTGGAAAAGGAAACATCAAGCAAGCTACAATAATCAAAGGTTGATTTTTGCTCATCTGTCTTCAAGTGCAGTCAAGCTGGGTGGAGAGATATCAGAGATTGAAAGTGAACAGAGTGAATTGAAGGCTCGAAGAAGTACGAAAGTGATATCAGAGATTGGAACAAATCCCCGCTAACATGTACTGTTAATATAAGTACCGATGCTTCTGCTACCACAAAGATTACTACTACTGTTACTACTGCCAAGGTGGAATGCAACCATTAAACCATGCACAGAAATCTTTATCTCTCCATCGCAAGAGTCGCATATCATTCTGAGACCATTTAACAAGTTAATCAAAACCCACTCTCTCTCTCTGTCTAGAATCCAGTGTATGAGTTTTTCTTTTTCTTTTTACGTGAAATAATTTTTTTTTCTGTAAACTGTTTCTTTACTATACTATTCTTTTCTGCTATATAAAAGACATTAACAATTCAACCATTGAATAGTTGTTTGTCTAGCTTTCTGCAGATATATATTTTTTTTTGGTGCATTCTAAATTTCTTAGCACTGACTCTCCAGCTGTGCCTACATCTTCAGTCGACCGTGAATGGATGAATATCACTTCTGCTTTCTGGATCAAACCAAACACAACGTAGGCAGGAAGCAGGATTAAACCAGTAGACTGGTCGAATGATCTACGGATGCTCAGGGGACCTATGGTCACTCCCTTAAGTTTGGTTAAGACCGAGTAGACACCTCAACCCAGAGAGTAAGACATTGGAAGTTGAGGGGCTGGGGCGAAAGTGTTAGACAAAGATGCTGCAAAGATTTTGTGAATTTCTAGCAGATAGGGCTATGCAAAATTTATGCAAAAAGGGAAATGTGTCAACAAAAGATATTTGCATGCAGAATTGCAACAAAGCAATGTTTATCAGCATCATTGAGAAACTTCTAGCAAAGTCTCCTTTTAGAGACCATCTTGTAAGGTCTCTGAAGAGTAAGCGTTCTCAAAGCAAATTTGTGGCTTTCACAACACAAAGAAAGAGAATCACTTGTAACACGTCAGGAAAATAACTCACGAACAAAAAAGCCAAACTGCCCGAATTTTTCCTCTCGAGTCGACAACACCAACTGCTTTTATCGGCAGAACCTATTTTTTCCATTCGTCGACAGCGGGATAGGATGCTCCGTAATTTGCATATTAATACACTCTTATAGCGACTCCTGCATTTAACTTGTTTCTTTTTTCGCTTGGGTTGACGAGGTAAATCGCTATAAGAGTTTTGCTGACTACTTTTCTTTTGGCAATCCCTCCCGGCAGATCGCACAAAACACGAACTTTTTTCCGGGGTACTTGATTATCTCGTTCACTACACTCCCCCTGTCACATAAGTGACACTCATATGGCCTCTTTATTCTTAAGCTTCTCCGGAGCGGGGCAACTGTGGGAGGAGAGATTGTGTTATGTTCTGAGGTTTCTTCTGATCTGACAACCTCATGCAGAGTCTTCATCATCTGAAGAATGTTCTGAAGATTCTTCTTCTGAGGATTCTTCTGGTCTGACAACCTCACGCGACAGAGTCTTCACCATCTGAAGGGGTGCTAGCCCTACCTCCGATGGTAATTATTTGTTCACTTTCTGAGCACTCACTGCTAGTGTCACTTGTTGACGTATCTGTACCTACATAGTGACGCAAGTCCTTTATGTGTCTTGGTATGCCATCAACCAGCACAGAACGCAGTTACTTAGTCCAGTGACATGCCCCACCCGGTGCGGGTTGTACACCGGCTATGTGGAGATTTCACCCACACGCGATTGCCCAAGTCATACGGTTTCGTTCGTTTATCCGTTCAGTTGAGCAGCGTTGCGTCAATGCCTCATAGCCGGACTTTATACTGATAAATCATGTTGGCTGGCGCAGTTGAGGGCGATACATTATTGTCTCTCGGAGTAACATTGTACCAATATAATGGGTGATGTCCATTCCAACACGGTGCCACACCTTGCTTATACTCACTTGTCCTTTTTGCCATTGCACAGGTGCTGGGTCGATGGACTGACACTCCTTGCATTCTCTGACCACTGCCCTGACAGCAGCTTTGGATACGGAGGGATCAATCTGCCTCACGAAATATAAGGTCCGTTTTACACCGGGATGTCCGCTTTGGCAATGCACAGATTTTAGTAAATCTGAGTTATAGTTGCTCGTTGATGTTACACAGACATGTTCTACCGGCTCTACCTCTTTCTTAATAGCGTCAAGCCATTTTTGGGGTACCCTTGTTAAAGTATCGGCCTTGTTCTGCTGTGATCTGACCAGCTGTATGTCTCACGGATAAGTGGTATTCACTTACCAACTTTCCCAGTGTGTCTAGCCTCCTTTGAATGAGCATCTCGCTCGCAGCCTTTGTATGTATCCTAGCCTTCCCTGTAAGAGTGTCTGCTATCCACTTATACACGCATGCGAATCCGTGAATAAATGCAATACCTTTGCATTCCATTGGAAGACCGCGGTGACTCCCTGATAATGTGGCGTCTAATTCTGACAGGTTGATATGTTGCGTATCCTTCTGGGACGCAACCAACATGCATCTTCCACGACAGTGTCACCTACTTCAAGAGACACTCCTGTTGCAAGGGGGCTCGCGTCAACCCAGGCGTTAAATTCACATCCGTCAACGCACCATTTACCCGTATGGGGTCGTCTTGGCGCACCCCTAGTAATGACTTCCCCTATCATGTGTCTAAGGGGAGCATCATTGGTTGTGTCATCCCAACCGAAGTGACAGCAGTCAAGACACGTTTAATAAATGCAGTTGCAATGCGGATCCACCCTTGCACGGAAAATGTCCCACCAGCTTTCCACATAACGAAAACACGCTGCGTCGGGTCATGTGTTTGGGAATGTCCGGGCTTCCTTCCACGTTTCCAGTAAAGCATGTTGTGCTCCCCCAGACCTGCAAGCCGAGCACCTGAGCACCATCCTCCAGTCGTTCTGGGTTTTTACATTCGAGCCCAAAGTCAGCAAGATGCTTTCTCACCTGTGAAGCGGGTACTAAGGTTTCGTTGATGTAGATGTCGTCAATGTAGGCTGACGTAAGCTGATTTAATTGTCTCATCCTGGGATAGCACAGCATCCACGATGGCTTTCATGATGGCGGCGCCACATTGAGTCGAATCCCATTCGGGTTAAGGATACCTCGTCCATTAAGAATCACCGTCTGAAATGGCCACAGTGACGGTGCACGCGTACCTGCAAGTAGGCCTTTCGAAGGTCAATCACAGAGACATTGGATCCCTTCGTTCGCCATTCTCTCAATTTTGTGCACACACATCAGCATGAGCTGTGTATGTGTCTACATGTTCGTTCAGTTCTCTATAATCTAGTACAGGGCGCACCTTTCCCTTGTTCTTTTGTACCACGGCCATCAATGGGATGAGGCCTCTTGGAGGACCAAGCTCTTCCTCGGGATATGGAGTCAGCCATCCGTTATCCAGCCACACCTGCAATTCGCGCTGGTATTCTTCCTTGACGCGTTCGGGCACCGAAATATTCTGACACTTTCGGTTCTGGAGCTTTTCTGGTGGGTTATTTTCCGACCATTTCAAAATGCTGTCCATGTCTTCGTCCTTTTGGTCGAACTCTGCGCTAAAAGTCGGGCTCGTTGATCTTCAAAGTAGCACAGATGGGCGGATCAGAAAACTTGACTTCGCCTGCCTCTGTAATGCGTCGCCGCCCAGCTCCTTAATAATGTCCATCCCAAGGAGCAGATCGAAACCTAATAACGCGCTGTCGACCAACACACTGACTGTGACAGGGTCACCGTTGTTTATACTAAGTTTGATGTTTCCAACTCCCGGCTTCTGAGAGCCTTTCCATCAGCCGTTAGTACGTCCATCTTTTGTCTGCTC